ATGGATCAAAGACGCTCTGGAGGAAATAGTAGCCAAAGGAACTGAACATCTCCAGCCCAGTGATCAAGTTGGATTCACTTTCTGTTCCAAAGACTTTACCCGCGGTCAAGGGTGGATAGCTTTTAAATCGTTTTCCGACGTTTCAAATGAGGACATATGGGAGAAGATATCTTCCATCTATCAGTCAAATTCTGTGGGGTTGAATACCGAGACTTTTTGCTTGGGAGTTACGTCCATAAGGTTGCCTGCTGGTCGTGGTAGAGGTCAGAATTTCAATACTTTGATGAGGAATGCGCCAAAAGAAGAAGGCATTATCACCGTTAAAAACACCGATAATTTGTGTCTCCCACGAGCCCTTGTCATCGCCATGGCCCATTTGAACAAAGACAAAGATTATAGCAGAATCCGCCTCGATCGAGGAAAAATACAAGGACAAAGAGCTGCACAACTTGTGGAAAAGGCTGATATTGTTATCCCTGAGGAGGGGTGTGGAATACCTGAACTTCAAAAGCTACAACGATATCTGCAAAACTACAAAATTGTTGTATACAAGTTTGGGTGCAAAGGTCGTGACGTCATTTTTGAAGGCGTGTCCACTGGTCGACGCTTAACCTAATCTATCACGAGGGGCACTACAGCGTCATAACATCCCTCACTGCTGCCTTTTGCTGCAGCTTTTTTTGTGAGAACTGCCACATTCCGTATAATACTAAACAAATTCATAGATGTGATAAACAATGTTATGCTTGTAAAAGATCTCCGGCCTGCCTGAAAACGAAGCACATCAATGCAAAGAATGTAATAGAAGCTTTTATGGACAAGAATGTTTTAACGCTCATTTACCATCGGTCTGTTCTAAAATTAAAAGATGTGTAGACTGTTTTAAAGTTCACAACGGTAATGATCACATCTGCGGACATATACTTTGTAAAACATGTTATAAAAATCAACCAATTGAACATATGTGCTATATACAGCCTGACAGAAGTATTCCAAATCAAATGATGTCTTATTAATATTTTACGATTTGGAAACCCGTCAGGAGAAGGAATTACCCAATGGATCTTTACTGCATGAGCCAAATCTATGTGTATTCAAACAATGTTGTGAATCATGTACCGATAATCCTATATGCAAGAAATGTGGCCTTCGATACAGATTCTTCGATGTCAAGACGTCATTTCTCCATTTATGCATCATATTCTGACACTTCGTAAAAAATTCAAGAAAGTCATTGTACTGGCGCATAATGGTGGAGGATTTGATCATCAGTTTCTACTTCGTTACATTTTAGAGAAGACTAGTCTGTACCCGAATGTAATTATGAGAGGAACAAAATTAATATTGATGGAGGTAGGAAATGTAAAATTTCTGGATTCTCTCAATTATTTTCCTATGCCTCTAACTGCTCTACCCAAGGCGTTTGATTTGAAAGAGCTAAAGAAAGGATACTTTCCACATTATTCAACACTTTGGCTCATCAGAATTATTAGGGCCAATTCCAGCGCTCGACTTCTACGATCCCGACCATTTAAAGGAAGACGCGGGAAAAATTATTAAAATGGCATGGCGAAAGACAAGCGGAGGGATACGTTTTTGATTTTCAGAAAGAAATCGTTGAATACTGTATCTCCGATGTGGAAATATTGACACAGGCGTGTCTCAAATTTCGAGACCTGATGAAAACCGAAACCACAGTCGATCCCTTCCAGGAAAGCACCACTATTGCATCATGCTGTAACAAAGTCTTTAGACGCAATTTTTTAAAACCTGAGACGATCGGGGTAATTCCAAAAGGGGGCTATAGATGGCGTGAAAATCAGTCAAAAATTGCCATCCAATGGCTGTTGTGGGAGGAACATCAAAGAGGAATCAAAATTCAACACGCCGCTAAGGGTATAGAAACCATTGTTAAGGGACATAAAGTAGACGGTTTTTTAGCGACACAAATCAAGTGTTTGAATTCCAAGGATGCTATTTTCACGGTTGCCCTCGATGTTTCAAATACAACAGAAGCAATCCTCTGCATAATGATCCGTTGAATACATTGGAAAGTCGATACGAACAATCAGTTAGCAAAGTAGAGAGACTCCGAAGCCTTGGACTAGAAGTAATTGAGATATGGGAATGTCAATTTCGAGGAATGCTAAACGATGAAATTAGAGCCTTCACAGAAGCACATCCATTGATAATCAATTTACCGATTAACCCCAGAGACGCTCTCTACGGGGGACGTACAGAAAATATCGTTGAATACTACAAGATCAAAACAAATGAATGCATAAAATATGTCGATATATGTTCCCTGTACCCCTTCATCTGTAAATATGGAAAATTTCCGGTGGGTCATCCAAAAAAAATTTACGTAGGTGAAGAATGTGTTACAGCCTCTCTGTCGCAGATGTCAGGACTTATTAAATGCCAGATTCTACCGAACCAGAACTTATATCACCCCGTTTTACCGTCAAAAATGAACAACAAATTGATGTTTGTTAACTGTCAAAAATGTGGTGAAGATTTCGTTCGAGAAGAGTGTCAGCATTCTATTCAAGAAAGAAGCCTAAAAGGAACTTGGGTGATAGAAGAGGTGCTCAAAGCTATTACCAAATTATAGAGACTTACGAAATATGGGAATACGATACAATTCAGCTCAGTAAAGACCAAGAGGGGTTATTTAGCGGAATGATGAACAAGTTTCTACAAATAAAACAACAAGCTTCAGGATGGCCCAAACATTGCTTAACGGATGAAGAAAAAAACCGTTATATTGATGCATTTTTGGATAGAGAAGACATAAAGCTGGAATTTTCAAAAATTATAGAGAACCCCTGTTTGAGATCGTTAGCTAAACTTATGCTGAATTCCTTTTGGGGTAAATTTGCTCAAAAAGAAAACCAAAACAAAACCTCATAGTCAGAGACTGTGGTGAATTCTTTGATATGCTGACTAATCCTTCTATTCATGTAAATACAGTTCTCCCGGTAAACGAAGAAACCCTTCTCATAACTTGGGAATTTAGAGAAGAGGCCTATGACGTTTCTTCAACGGTTAACGTTGTATTGGCTTCATACACGGCCCTAGCTAGACTAAAATTATATTCATTCTTGGAGAAAGTGGAAGAAAGGGCAGTTTACGTAGATACAGATTCATGTATTTATATCTCTCGTAAGGGATTAGACGACATATCTACAGGCGACTTCATAGGTGATATGACCGATGAGCTCAATGGGGGTTTCATATCAGAGTTTGTTTCTGGAGGACCTAAGAACTACGCCTACAAATATACTACTTTGTCTGGAGAGGAACAGATCGTATGTAAAGTAAAAGGCATATCACTCAACTACAAGGCATCCCAAGTAGTCAATTTTGAGAAAATAAAAGACATGGTGCTGAAGAAATCTGATCCTGTTTCTGTACTTTCTCGACAGCTACGACGTACAAGAGAGCATGCAGTAGTAACAGTCGAGTTTCCTAAGGTATACAAGATAACTTCAATGAAAAGGAAATTCTATGAAGATCATACCTCTGTACCATTTGGATTTAAGAAAATAAAGTATTGATTTATTAATGTATGTAAATATTTTTTAATAAACATGTAAAATAAAATGTATGCAAATGATTTTTTGTTTTTTATTTCCCGCCTAATTGAAAAATATTTTTGCACCCGAAATTGTTCAGCCTTTTTACTCCATATAAAATATTTAAAAGTATGCATTGTTATTATTAAACGCCTGCAGTAATATACACCAAAAAAAATTGAGAAGCAGTGTAACCATGTGGAACTTTGTATAATCACAAAAAAACATACTTGGAAAATAAAAAATACAGCAGATTCATAAGCAGTGTAGAGAGGAAACTACGTAAAAGTAATCGATTATTACTAATAAAATAGAGTTTTGAATTCCTATTTTTACAATAATAATCATTTTACTATCTTACGTGTTGGCACTGCACTGCACGGGTACCAACACTGTACTGCACGGGCACGAAAAATTGAGAAGCATGATAACCATGTAGAACTTCGTATCACTACGTAAATGGTTATTACGAAAAGTAGAAATAAAAACTCTATTTTCGATAATAGCTATACTATTTTTTATGAGCACCGAAAAAATTGAGAAGCACGATAACCTCATAGAACTTCGAAACAGCACCAGAGACAACCGAAGGCTACAGAAAAAAACACACTGAAAAGGCATAACATCTATCAGCGCTGGTATCCGAAATACTGTTTCCTTTGACA